AAGCGTTCATGAACCGAGGTTTTACTGTACTCTGGTCAGTGAGCTTTACCAGTAAGGAGAATTTTGATCATTAGAGATAAATGTAATGATCCACATAATGAGCTACATAACAAGATTGTGGATATAACATGTCATCTAAATAATTTAATACATACTACTAAGATGGTATCACTGATTGTTGTGCCTACTGACATCAGTAAAATGGGGACATGTAGTTGTATGATTCAAATTTAGATCACTAAGTAGAAAACTGAAAACCAGGAACTTAAAAGCAGTTTTGTCTGATGATATACAACATGATATTCACCTTCAGGCAAATGAAGGTGAAATTTATCTGTCTGTGGATGAGGCAGTAGTGTAAGGAAGCCAGATTTAGTTTATTAAAGCTGTAGAGAATATATCTGAACAACTGAGCTTGCACAAAAAGATAAGTTCTACTTGAATCAAATGCAACCAGGCCCCCAGCAATTAATATCAAAAAATTGGTAGAAAACTGATGAGAACTGGGAAGGTTCTGATTTAGCCTGAATCATCCTTAGATTATACTGTATGAATTATCAGAATTTTGATTGCCTTAAAGGAGAAGGGTGGAATAGACTACGACCATACAGAAAAATATGGTAAAGTTAAGAGTATGAACACCACAAGGAAAAATGCCCATACCAGATTATCTGGAAAACAACAAAAATACAATGAACATAAAGAAACTTGCTTGAATGGAATTGAATGGAATGGAGAAAATGTGAAATATAGTAGTATCTGAAAACAAAGTATATGGAGAAAATGGTAAAGGTGCATTAAGAATAGTGTAATTCATACATGAAGAGAGGATAGTAGAGATCAAATGTAGAAATCAGAATGGAATGCAATACTGTGCAGTGCAGTGCAACACAACACAACACAATGCAACAGAACGAAACAAAATAGAGAATAATATCAGGCACTGAGAGTAATATAGCACTGGACACATCATCTCCTGCCCAGCCTTGATGTGGGAAATAAAACCAGGAAGAGGAATCCAAATCAGAAAATGTTATAATAATAATAATCCATTTCAGATATTCTCCTATAGACTGGGACTGTGCATGACAGGTAAAGATTCTAGATATCCCATGTAAAGAAATCCTTTACTACTGAGTCTACCCACCCAACCAGGACAGCCTGGGCTGAGGCAGCAGTTACTGCTTTCAACTTCATTTCCTCCCTTCAACAATGATTATGGGAGCAAGGCCAAAAGACGAAAAATGAAAACGCAGGAGCACCTTTCTGATAGTTAATCTGGAGAGGCCTGGGCCTTTTATTACCAAATTATAACTCCCAAGACACAAATTGGTACAAAAATTTTGTTTTTTTAAAAAAATAAATTGTTTAAAATACTATTTAGCATTTATTAAGAACACACAGGAGCAAAACCAAACAAAAAGAAAAGAAAAGTCTGTTAAGCTTAGAGAAAAGAATTAGACTTCACAGGCAGAAATGTGAACTCAGGAACAATGGAGAAGCAATTAGGCCTTGGAGAAAAAGTAGTTTAAAGGAAACCAGGGAAGGCTTGCCTTGAGCATATACAAAGCGTAAGCAATTCCTAATGTCACTATATCTAGTTACAGCACATAGAAGTTAAATTACAATTTAAAAAGAAAATTACATACATAGTGTTAACAATGAACTAAAAATGAAATGTATAAAGGATGGATGGGGGGGGGGAACTAAACAAGGAAAGCAGGCAGAAAAATGAGCCTAGAAAATTTATTTCATGTGCATAATAACTCCAAAACAATTTCTTCTTCATTGCCCTTTTGTCAACTAATTTAGATTATGTAGGTGATCTGCCATAGATTCAACCTTCCATTTTTCACAGAAACGACGTTCAGGCACATTATTCCAATGAACAGTATCAACATTCTTTCTATTCTGCTTAAACCATATGTGTAAGTACCTGAATATCTTTTCCAAGGCCTTCACTACTACCTTACCAAGTGCTAGTCTGCAGCATATTTCTTGAATGTTGTTTCCTGATAGTCAATCCTAAAAGGCAAAAACTATCCACCATTTCATTGTCTTTGTTGGCAGTTCTAAGGGTGTACCTGTTTTCATTAGTTTGGTCATCTTTATATTTAACTGTAGTCTGATTTTTTCACCATGCTGCTTGTTTTTCATTTCTAGAACTTCCAGGTCATTTGCATTTTCAGCAATCATAGTAGTATCATCAGCATAGCACAGGTTATTGATATTCCTTCCTCCACTTTTAAAACCATGTTCTTCTTCTAATGAAGCCTCCCTCGATATATATTCAGGATATAGATTGAATAAATAAGGACAGAGTATATAACCACTCTGTTTTGTCATGTTCTTGTCTGGCCTATGGCTTTCCAATAAGTATACATGTTTCACATGAGAACAATGAGATGTTCTAGGATTACCATTTTCCTAAGGACATTCCACAGCTTGACATAGTCAACACAATCAAAAGTGTTTCTATAATCAATAAAGGATATACAGGTAGTCCTTGGTTAATAACCACTTGTTCAGCACCATTTGAAATTACAATGGAGCTGAACAAGTGGTACTTATGACTGGTCCTTGAAGTTCTGGCCATCCCAGCACCCCCATGGTCACATGATCACGATCCAGGCACTTGGCAACCAGCTCGCACTTATGACACTTGCAGTGTCCTATGGTCATGTGATGGCCATTTGCGACCTTCCTTGCCAGCTTCCCACAAACAAAGTCAATGGAGAAGCTGGCAAGTTGCAAGTCGCTCCTGTAAATTGCTCCCACTCCTGTGTCTTTTTCTGCTGTGTTTTTTTCTGCTGTTCTCCCAGGGATCTCGTACTCTGTAGCGCATGCATGCCGTGTTCATGCGGCTCTGCAGCAGCCACCAGCATACCCTCCCGCACCTGGCAGCAGCCATCCTTGGCCCTGCCACACTTGTGCTGCACCAGCCACTGCTGCACCCTCCTCCACCTGGCAGCAGCTGGCCCTGCCACACTCACACCAAGCCACAGCAGCCACTTACCTGCCCACCAGCTGCCTGTGAGCTGCCTGGAACTTGCGAGTTCCTGCCAGCTTCCCTATTGACTTTGCTTGTTGGAAGCCTCACAGTCCTCTCTTAATGACAGCAACGGGGACTGCTGGGATTGCCGCTGCTAAGCAGTGCGGTCATGCTTTACGACCGCATTGCTTACTGATAGAAATTCTGGGCCGAATTACTTTTGTTAAGCATGGACTTCTTTTTAGCATTCTTTGGCTTTTTCAATTATCCAGCAATCAGCAATAATGTCTTTTATTCCTTGGCCTTTTTCTAAAGCCAGCTTGAACATCTGGCATTTTCCAGATGGGGAAATCTATAGGGCTTTAATACGTGTGGGATGATCCTAAGCATTATTTTACCAGCATGTGAAAATAAGGAAATTCTACGTACAATAATTTGCTCATTCTATTAAATCTCCTTCAGTATTGGTATGTAGACTGATACTTCCGATTTGTTGGCCACTATGTCATTCTCCAGATTTGTTGGCATAGTTTGATTAGAACCTTGACTGATGCTTCTGTTGCTTGCTATATTTCAGTAACACTTGTCAAATTCCTGTTCTGCATCGCTGGTTGGAGCATAAACTTGGATAATCATAATATTAAACGATTTCCATGAAGTCTAATATTATTGTTCATTGATTGTATTCTATCCAAGTACTGTCTTTGCTATATACTGCCTGACTATGAAAGCAACACCTTCCTGACTATGAAAACAAGCACTTATTTTTTGTGTGTTCTGAGAAGTAACCAGCATGATCTTCTGATCAAAAGTGTCCAGTTAATTTCAATTAGTTGATGCTTAGATGTCAGCGTGTAGTCAATTCATTTCATCTTTCACTGTGTTGAACTTTTCCATGTTCATGCTTCTTATGCTCCATATTCCCACTATTGTTCTGTCTTTGCAGCTTTGGGTTTTCTTTTCCTGAAGGCAATATCAGAAACTAGATATCCAGAAGACTTTTATCTTGCCATGTCATAAATGCCATTAGTACTCCGTAAAATCCTCAGTTCTTCCTCAATAGTTTGTTGAGTGTCATCTAACCCGAGGGGTCCATCTTCCAGCATTATATTGTCAATCACTTTATCTTGTCTGTCCATGTGGATTTTTTGCTAAAATATAGGAGTGGTCTACTATAGACTTCTCCTGCACACGTTGAAAATATGCTTTTGCTGTTGTCATTAAAGTGATCATCCACCTCCAGAATTTTCCTATATCACTTCTTCCCAATATAGGCACTTGCTTGCTTTAGCTGAGCTTCTGGGAAGACTTTCACACCTTGGGTGATCCTAGGCATGCATGCCTGAATGTTCTTTGCTCCTCTCTCTCAGGACTCCCCACCACCACCACTATGCTGGAGCACAATGGCAAGACTTGTGGGAGAATGTACCATAAGTAAAACTATATCTCTTTCATTTTGCAAAAATATTTCAGTGTAGAGAGGTGCTTTGGTTATGTGTTACATACAAATCTACTCTGCTCATTTTAAGAAGAAAAGTAACTTTTGGTGATCAGAAATAGTGGCTGTAGGGGTCTTAACTGTTCACTTGCCCTGAAACTTATCAAAGTTTAAATGCAGGAAAACAGGCACTTACAGCGTAAAAGGAGGTGAATTTGGAATTACACCTCTGTGTGTAGCGTACCTCCTTTCCCTTGCCTCTTCCTTCCTTTTGATTTTTTAAAATTATTTTAATTAATTTTTTTTTTGGTGCCTTTGAGTCAGTGTTGCCTCCTGGCAACTGCCTGGACACATCCCTGCAGTTTTCTTGGCAAGATTTTGGAAGTGGTTTGCCATTCCCTCCTTCCTACAGCTAAGAGAGAGTGACTGGCCCAAGGTCACCCAGCTGGCTTTGTGCCTAAGGCAGGACTAGAACTCATGGGATTATAAGATTGTCATTATATATTTTTGTCTGTTACATGTAGTTTATCCCATAGATTTCAATTATTTTTGTTTCTGTTCATCCTATAGGCACCAAAGATTTGAAAAGGCCTTTCTGCTAGCAGTTGATATAGGTGCCCGTGACTTATTTATGGTAAGTTATGCTTGAAGAATTTTCAGTATTATTTTGCTGTTATGGGATGAATTATGTCACTTTTGATGCATATTAAACAGGATTGAAGTAATTTATAATCTTTTTTTAAATGGATGAGCTTATAGTTCATCTCCTAGTGGCAGTTCTAAGATCAAGCAATAATCTGTAACAATCATTCTCAACAATATGCTATCACATACAGTGATTGTCTTGTGATAAATGTGGTGTGAATGAGCTCTTTATAGAGTAATATTACAGTGCTGTTTTAGTTTTATTAAATCTGACCCATTGTCATTTTTGTCTTGCATTCTGGTAATACATATTTAGTCAGCAGCTGTCAAAATCCTTTTCATTCTAGTTTCTGATCTCATTTTGGGGACTGATTTAGTTGTGGCTTAGTTATCCTTGGCTAAGAACTGGACAATGGAAATACAATCCATTTCTTTTGTTCTGGGCCTCTCAAAAGCATGCCCCATTTCTAGATCTTAGTAGTCAGATCACTGGTGACCTTGGATTCACGTTGCTGGGGGTAAATACTGGGTCCATTACAAATGCAATTTGTAAATAAATGCTGGGGGTAAATACTAGGTCCATTTGTTCATGACTTGGTTATAGATAGCAGACAGAGCTGGAGTGCATTACTAAAACCTGGCTGGGCGAGAGCAGTGCTATCACCCTTTTGGCGATTTGCCCTTCTAGGTTTGGGGTCCAACAGTAACCTTGAATCCAAGGATGGGGGAAAGGAATGGCATTGTGCTTACATGATAACTTATTTGTGACCCAGAGCCCTGCTTATGTGGCCACAGAGACAAATGCCTAAATATTACATTGGGCAATAAGGACAAGTTTGGTATCCCCCTGGTGTACCAGCTGCCTTGCTAGCCAGTTGGATCCTCTCTAGGGTCCTTGATGCTGTCGCTGGATTGATATTAGAGTCCCTTTGACTTTTGATGCTTGTTGACTAGTTTCCATGCCATAGGGGCATGGTCAGGAATAGCCATGGAGTTGACTTCCAGAGAAGAAATGGCAGGCACAAAAAATGGAGCCGACGACCATGGTAGAATAAAGAGCTGGCAAGTAGATTGGCTCTTTGTAATTCCTCTCCAGACAAGAAGAGGACTTGAGATTGCCCACATGTGCTCCATACAGTTGCTCCTCTCTGGCGGATTTAGAGTTCTGGGAGACAAAGGAATAGCCATCTTGTTCAAATCGCAGTTGGCACCTTTGAAAGGACACTGGGTTCGCATGCTTCCTTTTCTTATCACCAACAGAAGAGAATATATGTAGCTCAGGGTTGAACTGGGGAGTTCTTGAGGTTCTCTGAGCTTGGTTGTTTTCTGCAGGCATTTTGTTACCTAGCTAGGTAACCTATTCAGTGCTAGAAGGGAGTGGGGTTTGCTGTCTGTTTATATACAGTAGCTGGCCTGTCAATGTTGGTGGGGGTGTTGTTTTCTCCTTGGTAGGTCCTTGGTTAGGGTGTTGTTTACTGCTTGATTGTTTGTCTGGTATTAATCCTGGTGTTAATCCTTTTTTTGTCTCTTTTGAATAGTGTGTAAATGTTGTTTATCTCTATGTGCCTGTTGATGGCTCACTTGTCTGAATGCCAAGTTTCCAGGAATTCCTTCACATTTTTGGATTTAGCTTGGTCTAAGATGCTGACAATTGAAACTGTAGTTAAGTCTGTCCATGTGTTGTGGGATTAAGGAGTTTTCATTGTGTCTTCTGACTGCTAAATTGGTGTTCATGGATGCGCTCTGCTAGTCTTCTGCCTGTCTGTCCTACATAGTGGTTATCACTGTTGTACTGTAAATGATTCCTGTTTTTTCTTATTGAGCTACTGTTCTTTTGGTTTATTTAAGCAGTTTTTGAAAGCTTTAGTTGGTTTGTGTGCTACAGTGATGCCATGTGGTTGTAATAGTCTGTTGGTTAAATTCTGAGATGTTTCTGATGTATGGCAGTGTTATCCTTTTCATAGCTTGCGTTGGTTGCATTGTAGTGGGTTGAGTGGTCAGACACTTTTTGATAAAGTTGGGTGGGTATCCATTTTGTTGGAAGATGTTGTATAGGTGGTCTGTTTCCTTTTTCTGGTGTTCTGGGTTGCTGCAGTGCATTTGCGCTTGTCTGAATAATTGTAATGGAAGGCATGTGCAAGGAGGATACTGGAATGGGGGATCAAGGTTATCAGGAGGGAGGAAGAGTATTCCTGGAGAGGTTACAGAGCAAGCTCTTCTTCAGCCTGCGGCAGGACCATGAGAATAGGAAGAAGCTGAGACTGGCCCCTTCCTAGAGCCTCACAGGGTATATCCACTAGTTGCTTTAGCATAGGTTTAGTCTGGCAAGATTCTGTCTAATAGGTGCAAGCTAATAAAGGAACTATACTGGACTGGACCACTTCGTTGTCGTTCTTGGGCTGGGCCTGACAATAATGTTCTTACACAGCTCTTGTGGGAGGTTGGGTTGTTACTTTCATAATGGAGCACTTGGTTAATGTGGGTTGTTTTTTGATAGACTTGTATTTCTAATTTGCCATCATTTCCTCTGCTGATGTAGATATCCAGGAAGGGTAGTGTGTTGTTGTTTTCTTCTTCCCTTGTAAATTTTATTCCTTTTAAGATGTTGTTGATTGTTTCATGTATCTTCTCTAGTTATTCCTTTTTTATTATGACAAAGGTGTAATCTACATACCAGATCCATATTTTTGGTTTTATGCCTTTTCTAATCACTTTTGGAAATTGCTTGTTAACTGCTTTTCAATTATTACGGACCTCTGGATTGACATATTTTACAGGACCAGGTGAGTTTCCATCAATCCATAGTGAAAGAAGTTTTAACTACAAGTTTAAGGTCTTAAAAAAATTTTTTTTGGAATATAGTAAATAGCAAAAAAGTGATTAAAACTTTGATTTTAGAAAGTTACAATTGGACCAAGGGTCCAGATAAATTTGAAATAAGATTTTGGAATTAATTATAAAGAATCCTTCCCATGGGAAAACACTTTTGTTTTGAATTATTTAAAAAAAACATAAGATAAGACTTTAAAAATTGGACACTAGAGAGAACTAGAAGGAACTCAAGATTACAATTAAAGGAGAAGATCACTCAAACTCAACTTGCAAATACAAAATGAAGCAAAGTATTTTAACATTGGACATATAAATAAATAAGTAAGTAAGTAAGTAAGTAAATAAAAACATTGGACATATCGAAGGGTATTTTTGAACAATGGATAAGAGTATCTGCCTCTATAGCTAGTCTGTGTTTAAAAGATGTTTTGGAAGAGAAACAAGTTTTACCTGACAAGATTGAGACTGATATGAAAGTGAATTTAAAGATGGCAGATTATAAGAATGAGATGGAAAAAGATGTTACACTGGACATATAAAAGAAACCAGCTGATGCCTTAATAATTAAAAGGGATATACAAATAACAAACCAAAAGAGTGACCTGGATAATTTTCCTATATTGGGCTTACAAAAGTGGCTTGTTAAAGTTTTAAAGAATTTCATGAGAAGGGACAAAGAAAAAATGAAAAGAAATTAAGTTCTAGGACATTATTTGAAGGAAATAACGATCAAGTTTGTTAGAAGTAAAAGGAAGGAATATAAAGTTGGTTTATTTGATCAAGGTTAAAATAGATATGTCGTTATCTCTGATAACCCATAGTGGACTTTTGTGACATCAGGCCTGAAATGATGAGGCCTTAAGGATTTGTTTATAGGTAAGAGATAGGATATGGGAAAAAAAGATCATTTGTTGTATTTTAAGAGAAGGTGATAAGTTACTAAAACTGTTTATACTTCTTGTGATGAAGGGGGAAGTCATTTCT